TTGGAAATAACTCATATTATAATGATTCTATATTAAAATAGTACATAACTTAAAAATTGACTATCTCTGTCCAGATACATCATAAGCAGCTCATTTTTTCAATTCGTTAGTTTCTCATTGAGAGTGCTTCTTTGATCCGAACATAGTCAATCTTTTTTTACAAACAATACAAACCGTTCTATTGTTGATGAATCTACTGTAGTAACATTTAATGTAAAATTATTTTTAATGCATCTTATTATAGATAATACACATAGAATATTTAAATCATATGCACATTATTGGTTAACACCAATAATTCATATTTATAATCAAATGTTTGAAAAATTTTCTTAAGATTTAAATACATTTATTATTGATACAATTATTATATTATTATCATGGAATACTATAGCAATACCAAATGAATTGGATGCAATATCAGTATAACGTCTTATTAAATATTTATTTCTTAATTGTAAACATAAAAATTCTCTTGTGATGGAATCAAATTTAGATTTAATTAAAAATTTTGTTGAATGGTGGAAAGAACGTATATATACATCAACATTAATTATATATAAATTAATATCTGACCAAGATATTAAATCAAAACAAAAATACTATAGGTCTTTTATTAATTGGTATATTATGAGCCAATCATATATTACCATATAATATATCAAATAATTTAACTGAAGATAGATTTAATAAAACATTATTATAAAGTATGAAAAATTCTTATAAAAATATTTATACAACAGCTACAGAAGATGTTAGAATGTTATTAAATATTAAAAAATTAAAAAATGAATCAAATTAATATTTACTAGACTAATTAAGTTTTATATTAAAATGGCATAGTAGTCAAATTTTACAAGATACATATATTTATTCATTACAAAAATATTATCCTAAAATTGTTGATAAAACATAAGAAGATTTTTGTTTTTTTTCAAAAGAAAAGAAAAAAGAAAATCTTTTGTTTAATTTTAGTGGTATGAATAAATTAAGGTTTGATTTGAAAAAAATCATATGAAGATTTTAAAATGAAATGTTCAGAAGCAATGATTCTGAATATTACAAAAGTTTATTTTATTTATTTAGAATTAAAAGCAGCGAAAATACTTAATATTATTATTCATAAATAAATAAAGTTACCTGTATAATAGATTATTATTATGTATTCTTGCGAGTGATTTGAATCTTTTTATAAGCTTTACAATCGATCTGATATATCTTGAGATAGTGCATGCATGATATTTTTATTTAAGATCATTATTCTATTGTAGAAATCAATTAGATGGATCTTCGGAAAAATGATTTCTAATATTAGATAGAATATTGTTCTCGTAGATGTCATAGATGAAAGTTCATGTCGATTTGTATTTGATAGTTGCTAATTGTCTAAGATTTTTTTTACGAAAAATGTACGAGAGATTAATATAAGAAAAAGAAACCGAAGAACGTAAGGAATATTTTTGTCTACAGATGTACAGTGTGAAAACTTGATAATCTTTGTTATAGACTAACATGTAACAAGTTATTCTACCTTTCATATTAAAATTCGAAAATAACTTCCAAGATGCAGAATATTATATCTCTATTATTTGTATTCGATGACTAACATATCTTAGATTGTCCACGTTAGAGACTTTCGATCCAAGATTTTCCTATTCGAACTCTGTTCGATTAGATGAATCTTTACATTTGGACTCACGATGGAAGGTTACTAACTGTTTAATCGTTTTTGAGTCGGAACTATGTGCGTCATATAGATCCTAATGAGCTATGAATACTCTGAAAGGAGTTCGGACCGCTAGCTTATTATTGTCGAGATACTGCATTTTTATGATATTGTTAAGCAGAATGCTGTGGCCTCTCTCAGTAGCATCAGCAAAACTGAGTTTTGAATTTCGACTTGAAATTTGATACAGAAATAGATCTCCACGAGAGTAGGTCATTGTGAAAGCTTGAGATCTTTTGATTGGTATTATTCTGAAATAAGAATATTGGAACCTGTCGAGGGTATACAAACAGTGTAAAAACACCCTTTTTAGCTGTATCTTAGGATAAAAACAACCAGAAGACCTGAAACTTTCATAATAAACTACTCTCATTGAGGCCTATTTCTGTGCAAAGTTTCAAGTCAAAATTTGAAACTCAGTTTTTCTGGTTCCTGAGGGAGACCACAGCATTGTGTTTAATTAAAAATACCATAAAAATGCAGTATCTCGACAATAATAAGCTAGCGACTTGAACTCTTTTCAGGATAATCATAGCTCATTAGGATCTACATGATGCACATAGTTTCGACTCAGACGCGATTGAATAGTTGGTGACCTTATCTCGTCAGTCGGATTCATATTCTCCTCGACAATCTCTAGTTGTTGCATAAACTTGCTATTTCAATCAATCCTTATGCTAATTTCTTAAGATAATTGTTATCTTGATAGAATTTGTTGATGAGAAACGTGAGCAATCGAATGATAAGGACTCTGTGTCAGGCTACAGTTTGTTGGATATTTCTAAAGTTTGTAGACTATCGTATAAATATCAGACTTGTCGAAATTGTCTTTATCGATATTCTACATCGAGTATAGAAGGTGAAGTCTTCTTCTTTTTGTTTTAATTTTAACTATGATGATAATTTATTGATTTCTATATCTTTTACATAAACTTTTACCAAAATTAACTCATGAAAAATTATTTGAAATTGCTCAAATTTTATCTGTTGATGGACCAAATGAATATCAATTTTGAACATTTTAAATTCATAAAATGGATGAATGATTATATAACATAATATTTAATAAGTGAAACCAAAACATCTTTTACATCAATATCTGAAATATTTTATCATCATGTACATGAACAATTACTTCAAATTTTTATCAAGTGACAATAAATATATACATGTTAATTATTGAAATATTTGGTGTGATTCAAAACATTTAAGTATATCATCATATCATTGTCTCATTGCATGAATTGATTGACTCTATTCAATAAAAATTGAAAATGAATATTTAAATTATTCTACTAATTTTCTTCTTGATGAACGTACAACACATACTCTTGATTATAATCATTCTATATTCGAAAATCTACTTGATAAATGTATATTTGAAGAATTTTCATTATTATGTAATTGGCGTTAACGTCATTATACTTATATGAAACCTTTATTTTCATTACAATTCTAGTCTATAACTGATCTATCAACAACAACAAATGTTAATCTAATGACTATAGATCCAAATTCATTTTAAGTAATCATTAATTAATAATAATAATATCGATCAACAACAACAACATCAGCAGAATTCAACATTAGGAACAGTTTTACTAACATAAATGTTAGATAATACGACAACTTATAATTGGCTTAAATAAACAAATATATTTGCTTTACCAATATTATCAACACAAACAAAAAGAATATCATTAATAATTAATGTTGATAATATAAGTAAAAAAAATAATAAAACAAATACGTCAACAATAATACAAACTGGTAATAATGATGATGAAGATCATATATTTAGACTTAAACAATGATTACTTAAAGATACCGACAAATTATATGGTTAGAAAATGTTCAAATATGATAAGATACGTATACTATAAAGAAGATCTAAGTTCATGTAAAAAATTTCTTTGAATTATTCAGAATGATAAAGCAAGCAAAATGTTATATGCTGACTGTTGTCTGAACCACATCAATTTTACAGATGAGTCAAAAAATTTTTTTTTTATAGAGAATAGCAAAAAAAAAATGATTTTCTGTAAAATTGCAGTAACTCGTCTCAAAAGTACCATCTATAACAATGTGTGCTATCGTTTTATGTGATTTATTACAAATTTTTATTCATAGATACTAGAGATGGAACTCAGTAGTTTTGGATTTTATTTTAATGTGTGGATATTTTTGGAAGATTTTGTTTTATTAAATCTACTAGATATATCTAAAATGGATTGTCACTTATTTTAGAAGCGTTTGATTATCAAGAAAAAAAACGATGGATTTTTAAAGTAGAAATCCATCATCTTGTTTTCCCGAAATTTCATTAATAATCAAAGAAACCGCTGCATAACTGTAATAAGGGACTGAGAATTTTACTAGAACTTTTTCAAAATGTGTTTTTAATGTAATAAAAGTTTGCATTATCATCAGCAAAAATCAAACATTATTAAAATTCATATACCATTCTTCTCATCTTGATTGTGACTGTTTTCCTGTGTGGAAGCTGTTATGACTGCAGTGTTTCCTTCCAATCATAAGACAGCATAGATGTTCATCACAACTAAAAATTCATCGTTACTGCACGACGATTATAATTCAAAAAATGACTCTCATCGAGATACTGGACTGATGTTCATTTTAGAGTTAAATAGACGTGGACATTTTTTAAATAACTTTAAAACAAAAAGGGAGAAGTTAACTTGAATTTTTCATACTATCTAGAATTGACATTGATCTATCTTTTCATAAAATCGATGAAAAATTCCAATCATTTTTTCCTTTGAATATATCATGAGTTTTGAAGATGAGTTTAATTTGCTTTGTAAACAACATAATTTCTCAACTATAATATAATGGACAGATAGTCTAACTTCGTCTCTATTGATCCATGCAAGATCGAGATTGATAACTGTTTGTATTCAAAAGATATAATGATTTTATTGAAGTCTTCTCATCAAATTTTTTCAAAATCTGAGCAATTGACAAATGTTTCCTTCTATAAGTTTCTAATCGCCTTCGACTTTGTGACATCACTTATTAATCTTTTAAAGTTACTCGAAAAATGTCCATGTTCATTTAATTCCGACATGGACATTAGTAGCAGGATTCATGTATACAAGTTATGAATTACAGTAGGTCATCTTCATTTACTGCTGTACACACATCCTATAGGACTTTTTCATCCATATGAAATGAGTCATTCAAATTTATAAAAAGAAATCGATTTGAATCCGGTTATATTACTCGATTATCTGATTTTATCTACATGTTGATCAAATACAAATGCTCATCTTAATTTTATTTTTTTTTCATTAAAAGATACTTGATATTTACATAATGCATTGAAATTTTACCGTGGAAATCTCATGAGCTACATTTCTCAATCTGTTTGACTATTACATTATATCGTAGCATGTCTAACTTTGTTGTTTACTATCATTAGTCATATTTACCTTAGATACAAAATAAATTTGATAAAAGAAAGAAAAGAAAGTATTGACTATGCAAGTTTTACTACTATTCCTTCTATATTATTAGCGACCATAAGAGAATCTTTCAAATAACTTTCGTTCACACCACATGACTTCTTCTAGAGGTTCGAAGTGAGCAAGTTATTCATATACTTACCTTCCGCAGAGTAGAAGATATTCAATAAGATTTTCTCTTCATGCTAGTAATTCATCATTGGACTTCAGTTGAAGTTAAAACATGCGATCTTTCACTATATATGAAACACGATGGAAAATTTTTTGTCTATTTGATGTGTTCGCATATCAAACTTTTAAAAATATAAAAGAAAAGAAAATCTGATACGACAAGTTATTCAATTTCATTAGAGTTACTTGATTGTAATATCAAATCGATGTTTGAATACATCATCGAAACATTATACACTTTTCGATAGTAGTCATCTAGTTTTATGAAAATTGACTCTTTTCTTCCAGAATAAACGAGGTAGATTCCATTGAAAAACAAATGAATGAATAAATTTATATTGGATCAAATCTTTTAAAACAATGAAAATCTTTATAAGATTCTATATGAAGTATTCATCTTAAAGAGTCCATGCTTTGTCAAAGTTAAATGGAAGATATTTCAGCACAAAACAATCATTTTTATTCATTTAAAAATTTTCATGTAAGTTATTCTAGAGATTATATCGATGTATCTTATGGATTCTGAATAATAATGCGAATTGATGATAATAACTTGCCAAAATCATATGTTTGTTATATGCAGATTGTCTAGAAAAAAAAACGTCTTGTTTTTCCATATCGTATTCTGAACACTAAAGTATATCTTACAGAAAATAGAGATCTATGAAAATTGGTCGATGTGAATAATAATTGAGAAATTTATAATAAAAGAATAAAAGCTTTCACCTGTATGAAAAATCAAAGAATATTAGTTCATAGAGTATATGTAAACCTTCTAATTTTCGTGATAGTACCATGTAAACGTAAAGTTTACTTTTTCAAAAGAATAGTTTGAGCTTGTAGTATTACTTAGTATGTTGCTACTATTAAAATCAATTTAAATTTCTTTGTTTTTCATAGTGGTAAAGTAACGCTTTATATAAAAAAAAAAAGTCTGTTAAAATATTTACTTAATACTAATTAACTAATTATTTCAAGCAAACTTTAGTACTTAATAATGAATTTTTGATTGACTTTTTCTATATAGGACTTTATCTTTAACTGTGTAATTAAATGATGCAAACGTATACTATAGTTAAAATGCTTTTTTTTCTTAGTTCTATTTTTCTATCAACACTGATTTCGATATAACTTCATGAAAATTTGTGGATCTAATAATTTTAATTTTGAAAATAGATCTTAATTGATATGCTCATTTGTAGTGATTTGCAGTTTGCTAATAGTGTCTTTGATTTTTTTTTGTATTGATTTAGCGTATTCGTCTGACTTGAAGCTGATATTATAAAAGCTTTTGTTCGTCTATTATCTATTTCTCGACCAATTTTTGCGTTTCAGTTTACTGTTGAATCAGTTCTTTTTGCCTAATTGAATTATTAATGCATGCTGTTTTTGTCAATATTTATAATTCGACGTGCGCAATAGTAATAAATAGAATAAAGTGCAGACAAAATTTTAGGGCACTTTTTGTTTTTCGTTTTACTCGATCAAAGACCGCTTTTAATAGACATCCAAATAGTGATTTCGATAGCTCTCGGAACGAGCCACAGATCTATTATATCGAAAATGTCAATGGTCAACTGGTTCAATTTTTATGATAGAAACTTTTTTGTTCAGCGGGCAAAATTTTAAGACACTTTTTGTATTTTATCAGTTTTGCTGTTGTCGATAAACAGAAAACGTTTAAATCGTATATCATGAGATCCAGGATTGCACGGACTACATTTTGGTATAAAAGTTTTTGAAAAACTATTGGTTATAATAATTAAATATTAATTAGCAATTGTAGATAAATCTTATCGTAATTTTCGGCTTTAAAGTGCACTATAAGAAAGAGCATTGAAAACTGAACAAAACCATGTATTTTTTGTTTTACAATAATTGGTCTTAATAGGATTTTGTAAGTACTCTTTTAGAATTTAATTAATATTGAATTAATAATTAAGAAAATTTAGCATTAAGAAGAAGTTTCAAAACTCTAAAAAACAGTGTATTTTGTAGAGCACAGGTTGTTCTATCAAACGAGACCTAGCGCCCTTTTTTACGACGCAATCTTCAAGTTGGACAACGTTTCCAATATTTATCAGTAATTTCAGCGATAATTTCTGGCTATTTTTCGCCTTGTTTTGGATAAACTTTTTTCAACGCGTTATAGCTTATGAATAGCACATTGTACAAAAGGTGGGATGTAGGTGTGGGCGCGGTGAGTAGGTGTGGGTGGGGTTTGCGATATCGGTGTGGGGAGTGGGTGTGCGGTGTCGGTGTAGGTGTGAGTGTGGAGTGGGGTGTGGGTAGGGCGTGGGTGTAGGTGTTGGGAGTAGATGTGCAGAATGGGTGTTGGTGGTCGCTTTGATCACACTAATGCTCATACCCACAGTTACACCCACACTCACATCCTAGTCGTTTATTGTTGGTCGTCAAGTAGTGAAAAGATTTAATTCCTGACAATATTAATAGGCTAATGATGATTTACAGTCTGCAGATGGCACTAAAGTATGACTAGAGGTCTCCCATAATCGTCAGTTAGTTATTTCAGTACTTTCTTGTAGCAACTAGTTTTTTTTTAATATCACTGTAATGGAATATGGGTCAGAAATATCAATATTAGAATATATCGTTAGTAATGGCATTTAGAATAATGCAGTAGTCGACATATCCAATCATTTTCTTATATCAATTTTTCCCACTAACATTTGCAATTAGTCATTGAGAAATTTCTCAATATGTATGCAAGTCGCGTTTCCAAGTGAGCTAATATATATACAATCAACATTAAGATAAAACAACTTTTCTCTGATAGAAACAAGCGAAAGAAGCAGCTCATTGAAATCACTCCAACATGTCAAAAGTAAACCATTGTTTATAGTGCTATCAATGCTATCAACAAGAAAAGATATTAATTTGTCAAAAAGCATCGATGAGAAAAAACGAAGCTCTGCTTGGAAAAATGAAATCTATCGTCGTGTAGTTGAGGTTTGTAAACAGTTAAAGAAGCAAGGTGTTCATTCATCCATTCTTATCAATGCAGCTGGTTTCGCATACACCGGCATTGATGATACTACTTATTGTCCTACATATGGTCTAGAAGTATCTGAATGAACAGTACACGTGAATCCATTTACTGTTCATGTTCAACAAAGTCCGAATTGTTCATTCGTGCAATCCATTGTATCAACGAATCGAATGAACTTTTCTTCTTCAGATAGTTCGATAACAGAGAACCAAAACTTTAAATTATCACATAATCAAGAAAAATTATCACAACATAAAAAAATCCATCAAAAGATCGACCATTGTCTGATAGAAGTAGCCATAATGAAAGAAGTTCGTTGTCGAACATTTTCACATTGGCCTCATCAGAAGGCATTATCTCGAACACAAATGATTTCGGCTGGATTTTTTTATTGTAATGTTGGTGATCGTGTTATTTGTTTATATTGTAATTTAATTTGTCAACAATGGACACCAGATACTGATGATCCAGAGAAAGTACATCAAACTCTTTCATCTCTATGTCCATATGTTTTATTCATTTTAAAAACTCGTCAAACATCAACTGCATTAATTCTTAATGATAGTTCGAATAATCGAGTATTAACATCTAATCTATTGCGATTTAATGAAATAGCTCAAGCATCAGCATTTCATCGAGTCTATGTTGAAATTTCGAAACGTCAATCATCATTTAATTCTTGGCCTCAAGGAGACTTACCTTCTGTAGATGATCTCGTTCGAGCAGGATTTTTTTTACACTGGCTTGAAAACAATTGTTACCTGTTTTTATTGTAATGGATTACTTCAAAATTGGGGTCCAAAAAAGAATCCATTGATTGAACATGTACGTTGGTCTCCATTTTGTTTGTATGCTAAACAATTATGTGATGATGAACTATATCGAAAAATTCAAGAATCAAAACGAATTCATCAAGGTTTGTTGTTTTTTTCTATTGAAAAAATAAAACAAATAAAAATAAAAATGTATTGATTTATTTTATAGAACGTCTTGGAACAAATCAAATAGAGAGAAATGGAAATTTTTCGAACGATCATCGAATGAACAATTCTCAACTAATGATTCCTGATGAGAACACATTGTCACAATTTGTTGCTGCTCGACTCGATTTGCCTATTTCACAAAGTTTACTCAATCGAAATTTCAAATTATCAGTTATCAAACGTTGTTGGGAGGATCAGCTAAGATTAAAACGTTCGAATCTTAAATTCAATCAAATTTACATTCATCTATCTTTTTTTTTGTTTAGAAAATGATTTTGCTACTGATTGTGATTTATTAATTGCTTGTATTATTCTTCAAAAACAAATCAATCATATCAATGGTCGCCAAGAAAACATTATTGTACCGAATATCAAGATGAAAATGATTCATGAGACAGAACAATTCAGTATGTTGTCGGTTATTTTTATGATCATATTATTACTCGTTCGTAAATAAGTAGGTTCATCATCGTTCACATCAACATCGAACGAATCATTATCATCAAATTCAGCAAATGCTTATAACATAATCGAATCAAAATCAACAATTGCAATGATCGACAATCAATTAAAAACAGAAACAAAAGCTAGTTCGACAATGGATTTAGCGTCGTCGAATTTGTGTATACTTTGTTTAACAGAAGATAAATGTCTTGCATGTATTCCGTGTGGACATTTGGCAACTTGTGTTCCATGTGGTCGTTCACTTCGAACATGTCCAATTTGTCGAAGAGAAATAGAGGCTTTTGTACGCATCTACATTTAAAGTAGACATCCAATAGAATGTTACGACAAACTGTTCTGTTCGACATCAATTAAACTAGAATTCTTTTTATTGATATATCACTTTTTATTTGAATAAAATCAATAATTTATTCAAGAAAAAAATTTGAAAGAATTTCAGCTCTTTTCGTTTTGAATCTTTGATGCCACAATCGAAAGTATTTGTTTGTGTTGTTTCTCGTCACATGCTTCAAATCGAGTTTCATGGCAGATGTCATGCTTGACACTCGACTATTGCATCTTCGGTGCTTTTAAACATGCGTTATTCGATTATTCAAACTCAATTTTATTTCGGGCATACTTCAGATTCTGAAAAAAGTTTATTTTGTCCGGTTGACAAGTAATTCGTCGCTTTTACAATGTAATTCATTTTAACAAGAGATTTTTCGTCTAAAGTCGACAAGAATTCTGGACAAGGGTGCATGAAGTCATAGCAAAATCACTCACTCGATGATTTCCTTGATTAAAGTAAAAAAAATGCTAGCAATTGCTTTGGAACTAAATTTTCCTGTTAAATCGAGCGAAGCAAGATTAGAAATAGCTGATTTCTATGATTCATCCGATTTGAAAATGAATTTCTAGATAGGAATCACAACATGATATTTGAAATATAAAAAGTTGTTTATTGGCGAATACAACCAAATGAAATCGGATCAGACACAAAATGCTGTTTATTCATCGTTTGGTTCACATGGAAAACCTTTTAAACAAAGAGTAAGTCTACAATCAAGACTCATATGTGACGGGCATGGAACTTGTGAATCTATTGACTGATGAAATAACATACGAACATGAGTATATATACGCACGCAGAGAGAGAGAGAGGAGAAAGAAGAAGAGAACAGATAAGCAGGACGATGTAAGAAAGAAAGAATGATGATGCGCAGCAGGGTGCCTGCCATACGAGGGTATTAGCTATGTGACGAGCAATCCATCATATCATATAATCAATTCCTATGATCGTATCGAGATTAAATCGACCATTATTACATGTATTCAACCTTGAATCTGAAAACTGGTGTATGTCTGAGTACAATCATATAATGAACATAGTTTAAACCATCTAGAACAATTTCTGTCTTCTCTATTATCACATCATATAATAAAATATTATTAAGGACATAATCATTTGTAGAACTTAATTATTCAGTGCGAAGCATATGGATTTTCTATTCGAAAAATAATATACTAGTACAAAAATTAAATAAAAAGACTAAGGTAGGAAATAAATGAACAATCTGTAGAATTGAATTAATGCAAAATGTCTATCGTAATCATCGAATAAAACATCATATCAGATTGTAGCATATGTCACAACACTTGAAGAATATGTCCACGTCGTCCATTTCCTCATTTGAGATTCTTTTATTGGTACTTTTTTGTGCTGTTGTCGAAGCCAACGGGTTACCAGTTGCATTTAAATCAGTGAATGGTTGTTTTGTCTTTGCACGCATTCGATTTACAATACACTACTTGACACAGTTGCAAACTTGAATGAAATACAAAGCGAATCGATTTTTTCGACACAATAAATACAAGCTAGAACTGTCAGTGCAAAGAGAGTGGCTGTACTAAACGAATAAAAAAAAACAAATGGTAACGAACGAGTCTTAACAGTCCTATGGAATCAAAAGAGAACAGAAAGAAAACAGACACGTGCTTCGATTTGTGTGGAACAGAAATGAGAGAGTCATCATATTTTGACATTGACGATACAATGAAAAATATTCTTTTTTGAATTTGTTCGACTGTATTTTATCCAATAGATCGTGTCCAATCTCACGATGTTATAAACGAGCCAATATCTTGACGAAATATGCTATTGTAATTTGAGAAGAAACAGCAGGATGCGACCAACGTGCCGATTAAAGATGCATGTATCACAAGGAAAGAAACAGCGTACTCCTAACTTGAGAAGTACAAGGAATACGGAGGAGTATCAAGAAGTATAGGAATACGCTGTTTCTTCTTTGATGTTTCATCAGCAAAAGATTGAATAACAACTAATATTAATCGATGCTTCTGTAATGGAAACTCATGTTTCCTTTTTTTTCTTTATAAAATGACGGTACATTTCTTACACTGTTTGATAATAATACAGTACCAAATCATGTTGAACAATTTCTTTCGATTGTTGATATTAAACAATTTATTCGATTTCAGTCATTAAAATTATTCAACATCCATAAATCTTATTTGAAATCGATTTTAAAATAAATCAATATCAATTCAATTGATTCATGCAATATTAGTGTTCGAAATTACGACTATAGATTCAATAAAACAACTCGAAAACTCCTCACATCATTTCTTTCACAAAATAAACTTCGAAAACTCAAACAAAATCAATTTTGAAACATAGTATGGCCAATGATAATATTATTCAATGCAATATTTTACAATGAACATAGATATAACATTAAACAATTTATGTACTCTATTTCAATCTATGTCTTTATTGAAAACAGTAATATTGAAACATGGATTGAGAGTTAATGTGAAAGATCAGACAATTGTATTATCTAATTCGATAAAATTCACTTGTTATCGAAAACTGTTTTCTTGGTATTCAATTGATTGAAGCATCTCTTTTCCTCACATCATCATTCGTACATCTAAAATTAATTAGTTCTGGTACATCACTCAATGGAAAATGATGGGAAAAATTTATACAAAGAAATTTATCTCAATTAGATAAATTCCAATTCTTTTTTTCGAAGCATGAATCAATAGAATTTACAAAAGTAAAAATGGAAAAAATCATCAAATCGTTTCCAAGATTGTTTTGGATTAAAAATAAAAAGTGGTTGATTAATTGTCAAAATGATGATAGAATAATGTTTGACAAAAATGTCATTCGAAAATGATGTTCTAGATTCTTTTTACAAAATCTTTATTTTCTCTAAAAAAAATAACAGTATTGCGGCTCCCATGTACTTTGCTCAAAAGAAAAACAAACTTTGAAAACCGGGACTGATCCCAGTCGCGTGATAATCCACGTATTAAGGAGGCGAAATTGTGCAGACGCATACAAGATAATATATCAGTTCAAAAGTATAGAACAAGAAACGTTCGTGAATTGATCAAAGTTTCGATAGAATCGAGACACACGCATTCTTGTTCTTCTCCCATTCACCAAATAGTAAGCAATGCGTGGCGACTACTCCATATCGGATATTTTCTGAAGTTGAATTAACATCAGAGAAACAGAACTATACATTTCACCGAATTCTCGAGAGCGAAAATTAGCCTTTTTCTTTTTTGACGCTTCAGTCCAAATCTAGAGTTTCTAAAGCAAACATCAAGGTTTTCGGTAACTTCTCGCATTACGGAATTGATTAATTGTTCCATTTCTGGCAGATCTTCAAATTTTTTACTCATCTCTGAGCTTCGCGAAGTTTCGAAATCATATTCATTTAAATCCACTCGTCTCACATATTTTCTACTGTATTTAACATCGTATGCAGTTTTCTTTGTGTATTGAATGGGATACAAATTAATGTTGTTCATAGCTAATTTTTGGTTAGTAGCTAAGGAATTGTGTTTCTTGATTATTTTGTAGATCATCTTCATTTCAAATGTATGATTGTTTTATTCTATTTTATCTATGAATGATAGTCGAGCGAAATCAAAAGCAAACGATTACGAAACTAAATTTCCGTTGGGGTATGTATCTTTTTTTCTTTCGCGAACGCTAACAAAAGAGTCTTTTTTCAAAGAAAACTTTCACAAACGATTTTCCTTCCTAATCGGTGCAAACTAGCACTTATGTAGAATACCAGACAATAGAATATCTCTTTCGATCCGTCATCTTTCCTACATATTTACCTGACTTTTTGAGAACAAAAGATCATATGTGCACTTTATCATTTTTCTAAAAAAATAAAACAAAATGAATGATCTTCTATTATATACCTTCTAACTTCATCTTATCTAAATGTTGCTATTTATATTCACGAATGACACGAAATTCTTTCGATGAAACCTGGTAGGTAACTAGGATTGAGAAAAACTCATAAATTAGATTTTCTGCATCTAGATGAAACTATCGAAAGTGATTTGACAGAAGCGATCGAGAGGTTCGATCAGATGAACTTACGTGAACTACTTTTACGTGGTATCTACTACTGTGGTTTCAAGCGTCCCTCTGCTATTCAACAGTGTGTTATTAAACCATGCATTTTGAGTTAATTCTCTGTCATTCCACTAAAAAATGAAATCTTTCCGATAAATATTTATTCTGCTTGTAGGTCGTAATGCGATAGTTTCAGCACAATGGGGCGCAAGCAAAACAGCAACATTTGCCATTGTAATCTTACAACAACTCGACGTAGATTTAAAAGATTGTCAAGCCTTATTCTTAGCACCAACGCGAGAACTGACTCTACAGGTATAGTATTTTTCTGACATGTGATATTTTTTTCACAAACTCTTTCATTCTGTTCATAATTTAGATCCAGAAAGTAGCATTGGCACTCGGCCACCACATGAATGTCACAAGCCATGCTTGTATTGATAATGTAAATATTTGTGACGATATAAGACATCTTGAAGGAGATTTTCAAGTTGTCATTGGTATACCCAATGGAGTCTATGATACTATAGAACGATCGGCACTTCGTACATGATTTTTATTCTGTATTCATCTCGTAGATAACAATAATATCAAGCTGCTCGCATTGGATGAAGTCGATGAGATACGATCTCGTGGTATCAAAGAGCAAATTGATTCTATGTTTACTACGATACTCCCAAAAGTTCAGATCATTTTTATATCAGCTACGATACATAGCGATGTGCTCAAAGTCAAAACTTAATTTATGAATGATCTTGTAAAAATTGCTGTGAAAAAAAAACTGACGCTTGAAAATATTCGATAATTCTATGTTATTGTCGAACATGAAATAAACAGGCGCACTGCGTATTCTATGCAGATGAATTCATGAAGGATTATTTTCCTTAGGATTGAAAATTAGGCATATTATTTGACTTGTTCGAAACGTTAACGATTACACGAGCTGGCATCTTTTGTAACACATCCGAAAAAATCGATTGGTTAATTCAAAAAATGTGTGAATGTGACTTTATTGTGTCTGCTATGGTAAATTCAACGATGCTATCTTGGAAACAATCAACTGCATCTTAACTTTTAAACCACTGATATATCAAACCACCAATAATAAAAAAGTGAAAAAAAATCACGTAATAAGCAAAATTGAACACGCTATGTTGACAGTAAGTTATAGAACTATGAGAATTATAATACTGAACCGTTCGTTTGGCCCGAAACACCCAAACAGCACCCTATATGACAAAGATTAAAAGTACTTTCTAGAATTTGTAATAAACTTTAACTTACTGCTATAAACCAAGCGAAACAAAATAAAGCTAATAGCACAATTAAACAATTCAAAGACGATGATTTTTCTTGATAGATCTGAAAAAGAAAATTATATTATAAATATATCACTGACTGGAACATTCGTTCTTCAGTATGTTTTTTTATAATCAATTAGAAAAAAAGAAAATTGAACGTTGTCAATTATAAAGAGAATCTCACCTTTATAAGGATCAGTATTGTCAGAATAAATGTAAAGACACCTCCGACAATAAGATATATTGGAATAAGATAATTGATAGGACATTAATTGATATAAAGACTACCGATAGTTATTTCACTTATTGGTATTCCAAAGATGATAATAAATATTGCCAGAATAAAGATCCACATTGATACTTTTGTTAACATACTGATATTAGATTGTTTATTCTCTTGAAGAAAACTTTTATCTTTGTTCAATGAAGAATCATGAAACGTATTGGACGAATAAATATTCGGAGTTGTTTGGGCTTCATAGTCGTTTTCCATCATAGCGTTGATCGGCAAGAGTGTTTCAATATACAATTAACTAATATCAGTAATCTATGATATAATAATTTATTTGTAGGAAAGAACAATCGATTTCAATATCATTCTTATCAAAATAAATCTATTACTTACTGTACACAACCATTTACTAATTACTTACTCATTAAGTTTATTCATACAGAAAATTATCGCTTCTGATTATTTTTTTTTCATCCCTTTGTCTTTTGATACATACTTTAAAAGAACAAATTATTTCGAAAATGTTTGTTGAATGTTTTTTTTAAATTTTCTTCGGTGAGTTGTGTAGATACACTCGTTTTTATATTATCATTGCCTCCTACTTGTTGCACCCATACTGATAGCATTAGTTGACTAACGTTTTCTTTTGAAGAAACGAAAATTTGATAATGATGACGTCTTTTCTTCGTCACTATTGATATGATACAATCAAAACAAAAAGTTTTTCACAGCAAAGATAAGTCATAGTCGTGTACTTGATGTTTAATTTTCATAGGATTTTGGTGGGTGTGTTATTCTTTACTCATCCATGCACACTCACACCTGTTACATCGTAGGAACGTCTCGGTCTACCACCATTGATTTAATAGTACTTGTTTCTACTTGAACTACAAATGACCTTAATGATAAGTTGTTGATGGTAGTTTTCTATGCTGAATGTATAATATAACTGTTTCATCAAGCATTCTAACCCTACTTAGAAAAGACGTGATCCAAAATGGATTTCTAGTGTTACAGTAAAAACGAACACTTGGAAAGTGACGAGGACTTAAAAGTGCTTGCATAAAAGTCAATCTGATGATACTTTTAGCAATTAAGTGAAATATATATTTTGAAAAATAGTAGCGAAGTAATATTAGGCAGTTATTTCATGAGCAAAATTTTCAACTAATAAAAGATAGTAATTTTAAAAACTGGAAATAGTGAAAAAAAAAGTAAAACAATTAACTATTTTTGATTCAATCGTCATTATAATACTGCTCATTAGAAACTCGTCAGTTAATTTTACATGGGTACGAACTATTGATGTTGTTGAAGAGTATATCTATTCCTAGTATACAAAGGAAAAATCCCATCTCATGAGCTTTCCTAACTGAGAACATAGTTCATAAAGCGGACACACATTTTATCTGTATCTATTGTATTTTTATTAATATTTAATTCAAACAAATATATCAATGTGATTTGGAACTAACCTTTTTATCAGTGCGAGGAAAACTGAGTCTAAAACAAAGTAAAATTGTAAACAAAGAATAAATCCTAACAAGCGGAAAAAGATGTGGGTAGGTGTGGGTATGGAGTGTGTGGATGAATGGTATATCTTCATCTACACCCACACTTTGCTCTTGTATCGATAAGTATCAGCAACAATGATGTTCTTATATCATGGTGCATGCAATCTTGTTGTTCTCTTGCATTGTTCTATCCAGAGACCGAAATTGCACCGAACTTAAATGGTTCAGTCTATCGAGGAAAATCCTTCAACTGATAAATAACTTTTGAGTCAAGACTATGTGTATTATGCAGACGCAAATGAGATATGAATACTTTGAAAAGAGTTCGTGGCCTTGACTTATTGGTGCGCAGATACTACATTTTTAGGGTATTTTTTAAGTGAATATCGTGGTCTCCTGGGAAACAAGAAGAAACCTCATTTTCAAATTGCGACTAGAAACTTCATAGAGAAACAGAACTTAATGAGAGTTGATTATTATGAAAGTTTCAGGTCTTTTAATTTGCTTCTATCCTGAAATAAGAACATCAAGTATGCCACTTTATATGACCGATGTAAAAACACGTGATTATCATAGCTCTATATTAGGATAGGAACAGCGACACGATCTAAAACATTGGGGGAAAAAACTATTATCATTAATATCTGTCTCTATACAAACTTTCATGTCGACATTCGAAAATGAGTTTTTCTGATATTCCTAAGGAAGACACGGCATTCATTTAAAAAATACTACAAAAATGCAGTATAGTCGCAGCAATAAGCTAAAGACAAACTCTTTTCAGGGTATTTGTAGTTCAATTGAGTCTACACAATGTACATAGTCTCAACTCGAAAGCGATTTATCAGTTACATGATGTGGTTGGGTGTGAGTGAAGGGGCATGAAGAGTAAAGCAATAAAAGCACTCCATTCTCACATGCCCCGCATCTAGACCTGCTCTCACTTACATTCACACCCCCACTTCCTTGTCAATTAACAGATTTAGTTGCAAATCTTAGTTGTTGCAGTTATTCCGTATTTTTCGTATCTTTCCTTTATTTGTGAAGGAAATACCATCGTTACTTGAAGGAACATGAAGCAATATCACTAGAAGTGAAAAAATAGAACATTAAGAATATGATTTTAAAACATTTTGTGAAGCTTTTTCATAACACATTTTATTTGATTTTGAATGTGTAAGACCCGAAATGAAATTTTACAAAGGAAATTTGGCGAGTTTTCTCGGAATGCATCTAAATATATCCATTCGTATTACAATGACATTGCTTTTCAACGGAGTTTTTCGAATAAAATACTGTAGAAAGCATATGTTTATAGTTTGTTGTGGATTATTTTAAATGCAATTTTTGAGATTTTGGAATGTCATAATTTTAGAAAGTCAGAATCGATATTGTCAAATTAGTACATGACATAGTGTTGAATGAATGAAAGTTTGTGATGGTTGTAAAAAGAGAGACGTTATTTTCATCTATTGAAATAAATTCCTTATTAAAATACTAATCCGTTTCTGAAATCAAACAGTAAATATTACACCAACATCCTTGTGCTGCTTATTTCGATTTTTGAAATTTATTTGATCAAGGTGATGAGTAAGATCGATCCAATGCTTTCTTCTAACAAAATAACTATTTTCAGAGAGATAGCGTGAATGATGATTTGTATTTAGTTTGTTTCGAATGAGAGAATGAAAATAAAAATTTTACATTATAGTGGTATTCTAAAAATTCAAGATGATTGAGAATATGTCATTGTTGTATGTGGAAATTGTTTATCGTGAGTTGATCAATATCATTCAAATTGACATGTGCCAATCTATTCCAAAGTTTCAACGAAGATCGGCATTGATTTTAACAAGGCCACGTTGAGTAGCAAAATGCATCTCTTGATTGATAAATCTACCAAGAATACTCTTTGAATATTAAGTATACGCCATCTGTTTTACTTTCTTTTAAATAGTGTGAGAACAAAAAAAACAAGTGATATTTGTATCTTTTTTCTATTGGAATGCTTACGAATCATCATTTATTTTCAATAGAATAACTCAGATGGACAAAGATTTACATAACACGATTATGACTGTTCTCTTTAAATTCATTAGAGAATGTTATATTTACTATAAAATCGAATAGGCTGAAGAGCACTAAATAGACAGTGTGGATGAAAATATGTTGGAACGTATGATTTTTCTTAGAACTTATCAAAAATTCATAAAAGTAGCAGCTTTTCGAATTTTTGTGAGTTCTCTCAGTAACAATCTCTGGCAATGCTCAAATAAAATAAAATGTAGCAATAAATTCGTACTTCAATGTAATCTTTCTCGGAATCTGATCCAAGTATCATTTTTAACAGATCTATTCAATTAGTGTAGCCGAATTCGAAGTGTTTCTTGATCCACATTTGTGGATCATTGCTAATAAGTCTTCGTGCTTCGGATAACAACAAAACCAATATTGACCAACAGAATCGTGTTGATAAATTCTAATACAGAGCTGTATAAAGTGTAGTTATGAAAAGTGATATTATTAATGATTGTAATACATAATTCAATTCTCCTAGCACACATTGTAATCGAAGAACATACGAATTATTCTGCATGTCTTTATCGAGAACGAATCCACATGACACAGTTGTATCCATCGCAAAAGCTTTTAAAAAAGATAAAATATATCAAAAGATTGATTGAATCGATGTTGTTCAAACAATTCTTTGTATGAAAGTATTGACAGTTTAATTGATCAATGGAGATACTTTTTTTTGAGTTTTGACGATGACAATATTGGATTAATAACGAACTGTTGCCGTTTCCAACGCTTTGGAGTCATGTGAAGAGTAAAAACAAAGACTGATATAGTTGTTTTTCATCCAATCTAAATGTAAAAATGACGCTGAAGAATAGATTTTCTATTTGCCATCAATCGTCGTCGACTGATCTCCTTTTGACTATTGTAATCTGTTTTAGCATAGATATTTAAATATCTAGTAAAATGTTTCAGTCAATCTTGAATATCATAAGGAATCGAACTGTCCGATAAAGAATAGTTTTATATTGTCTATTTGAAGTGCTTGCCGATTGAATTCAAAAGAATAACTCGAAGGATACGGGGATATCAAATCAAAACAAAAGTTATGCAGATAACAAGGCAAACCGTTCCTGGTTTTATATTACACATTCATTAGGAGAGGTTTTTAATTCCTTTGAATATATGTCAGGATAGTAAAAAGAATAGTGGCAATGAATTCAGAAAAGATTACAATCATGGAAACTTCAATGAAGTGTGTTCTCTTTGAAAATTATAAAATTAATATTTCATCACATCCGAACAATGAATAATGAAATATTATTGACGATTTTCGATGAAAATAAGATTTTTCATCAGACAATGATCGATAATATTGTTATGTGCATGTGTCCTTTCTATATTCTTTTAATTTCTATTTTTTTAAGAAGCATGACACATTTGATAACGATATATTACAGGAAAAAAAAACGAATGACTCATTATTATTTCTTCTCTAAGAAACAGAGTCAAATGACAATTCAATATATGTTATCAAAAACATCTATCCCAGTGCGTTTTTCTTCGTATTTGAATTACATATCGCCGAAGACTTATACTTCCTGAATATACATGACGAGAAAATTTGAATCAAAGCTACATATAAATATCCCAAGTACAACTATAGACATTACGGTATATCAAAAATAATCTATAAAATATAACAATGCATACAAAATTCTGTTTCTTTGT